GGAGAGGGGAGAGACACAGGGAAAGGGGGGAGGGAGAGAGATGGGAGAGACAGAGAAAGGAAGGAGGGAGGGAGATGGGAGAGACAGAGAAAGGAAGGAGGGAGGGAGATGGGAGAGACAGGGAAAGGAAGGAGGGAGGGAGATGGGAGCGACAGGGAAAGGAGGGAGGGAGGGAGATGGGAGAGACAGGGAAAGGAGGGAGGGAGAGAGATGGGAGAGACAGAGAAAGGAAGGAGGGAGGGAGATGGGAGAGACAGAGAAAGGAAGGAGGGAGGGAGATGGGAGAGACAGGGAAAGGAAGGAGGGAGGGAGATGGGAGAGACAGGGAAAGGAAGGAGGGAGGGAGATGGGAGAGACAGGGAAAGGAAGGAGGGAGAGACAGGGAAAGGAAGGAGGGGAGAGACAGGGAAAGGGGGGAGGAGAGAGATGGGGGAGACAGGGAAAGGAGGGAGGGAGGGAGATGGGAGAGACAGGGAAAGAAAGGAGGGAGGGAGATGGGAGAGACAGGGAAAGGAAGGAGGGAGGGAGATGGGAGAGACAGGGAAAGGAAGGAGGGAGGGAGATGGGAGAAACAGGGAAAGGAAGGAGGGAGGGAGATGGGAGAGACAGGGAAAGGAAGGAGGGAGGGAGATGGGAGAGACAGGGAAAGGAAGGAGGGAGGGAGGGAGAGAGATGGGTGTTTGATTCCTATTCAAGAGAATTACTTTATATATATATGTGTATATATATATATATAGTCAATATAGGCACAGAGTAAAATTTTTTAACATTTTCTAATGGTGGTGTGCCTCGTGATTTTTTTCATGAAACAAGTGTGCCTTTGCCCAAAAAAGGTTGAAAAACACTGGTATAGAGTATAGAATCTATCCAAGATTATAAGGAGTATGGGTACCCAAAGTCTTCATCAAAGAATCACTTCTCCGTGGAATGTTGTCATACAGGTCCTCGTCTGAGCAAAGTGAGGTCACTGTAATATTTATTAAATGAGAAGCCTCCCGTTCTGTAAGAGAAAAAGGAAATGCTATCTAATTCACACTCTGCCAACAATACATTCCTATGAACTTTTATTGACTAAGAAAAAAGATTGGGGAGGCCATGTCTGACTTCATTCTGGTTTTCATACTCCTTCTGGTTTAGCAGTACTGTATATGTATAGTATGTATAAAGGGATTATCACCCAGTAATATTGTTTACAACACTGGGTTCACATGGTCCTGTAAAATTAGCAAATTTTCTGTTGTCATTAGCCATGTTGAGAGGTCAGTGGATCTAATGACACCATGAGATGCTTTCCCATAATATTATGCAGGGCTCAAATGTCCACTCGTCTGCTAGCCACTGACCTAAAGCCCTGGCAGGGCATGGACTCCCAAAACAGTTCTGTTTTGAAAACAGCTGCTTATTGTAGTAGCAGTAGTAGTGGTTACATGGCTGGTATCTTCAGCCACTAGGAGTGGAGCTATACTAAATAACTGCGCAGCTTCCATGATAGTAATGCAGCACTGTCTTTTAGAGCGGGGAGGGAGGTAATTTTTCATTTGCCCATACACCTATAACTTCTCTATCATATGCAGCAGTTTCCCTCTTTTTGATTTATTTTAAATGTTTAATTGGAGCTCTTGATCCTAATACTTGGGCAAAGCCATGCTTTCTTATCCAGCAATGAAGTGCAAGGCAAGCCATGCCTCCTCTACCTTTCTGCCTGATAAGCAACTGAAAACTAATAAACATATGTGAAGACAGGTCATCGTGTTTATGGGGAAACAACTTTTGCCCTCTATGTCTAAACCTGAGGTTTGTAGGGAGGTCTGAGCGTTATGGAGGAGCAATGGGGGAGAAGGTAAGACTATTTCCGTTGGCTCAGGAAAGCTAAGGGAAGGAGGAAGAAAACCTCCCTTGCAGTCTGGTGATTTATTAATTCTAATAATAAAAGGGCACTTTTATAAACAAGCTTTAAAATGGGATGCTCCATAGACCTAAAGCACTTCAGCATGTTGAAAAGCTTTATGGTTGTGAAGTGGTCATTTAAAAAGAGAGAAAAATGTCTGCATAAAGAAATTATTAATATAAACTATAAAGTTGTTTAAATTATTTTATGTGCAACTCTAATGCTGAAACATTTTTAAATCCGTTTACAAAATAGATTTATTGTGACCCCCCTTCATTCTCCAGTAACCATTATTTCCTTAAAGAAAATAAATCATATTGCTGCACTTTATTATTTTGGTTAAATCCCCATTTGAGTGACCACATTGCTTTTTTCTTTCTTTTCTTTTTTTTTTTTTAATTAGGATCAGATTGATGTCTACATTTTATTGATCATGGCTGTGAAGTATTTATTATACACATACTTGATTACAACAGACATGTGGTTGCTGTAATCATCCTTCAGATCTTAAAATCAATCTTCCCTCAGTCATCTTTACTTCTGCTTCATTGCAGTTTTGTTGCAGTTCATGTTTAGTTGATGTTTCTTCTCTCACGATTTATTTAAAAAAAAACATTTTTTTTAAAGGAACACTCTGAGCACCATAACCACTTCAACATCTACTATCACCTTTTTATTCTTTTCAGTCAAACTGCTTGCCTTATTACTTAAGCTCTGCCAAACATCGCTCCCAGCTTTCCTAAATTAAGCCTTGCAGTTCTGAGCTAGTACATAAGCTAAGAGCATCATTTGATTGTTCTCAGCCAATGAGAATAGTCCTGCACTGCTGAACTTTGCTTAAAGCATCCGGGCCTCTACCTAAGGTAGTGGAGGCAGTGAGCAGTGCCCACCAGAACCCAGGTAAAAAGTCAAACTGTTCTAAAATGGTTTGACTAATTACATTGTGGGGTGCCACGACTCTCCTGGCACCATAACTAAAGTGCCCTGTGGTGGTTAAGGTTCTTGGAGTGGTCCTTAATGTATGGGTTGATTGGGTAAGCATGTCCAACCTATCACTGCCTATCACTGCCATGCAGATATGGATACAATTGATAATGCTCATGTGCTAGTGGAACCTCCACTTTAGCATTTCTGATGAGCAAGGCCAGGACTACTAGTGCGTTGGAGACCTCTTGCTTTGGTCAAACTCTTTGAAAATGATTTGAGTATGAACCAGTGGGTTCTTAGTATATTAGCAGTGTATAGATTAATTATTTTTTAATTTGAATGCAACCCTGTCATTCACACATTTTTAGTTGATTAAATGTTTCACAGATGATGTGTTGAAATGATTACCATATCTCTGTTTTTGTACATTGGGCAATAGTAGTCTAAGATGTACCTCCCAGGCTTACTTTGCTGTACTTTGAACTTTGGCAATTCATATATATGTTCAGAGATGTTGTGATATAGGTCAATGGTAATATGGCAGCCCTGCTTCATGGGTCATATAGCTTTAAACCTGATGCTGTGACTGATTAGGTGGCCCCTTTGTAATGAGTAAGTGCACCACACAGGTAGGAGGAATGTACAATGCAAGACTCTTCTTAAGCCAAAAATAGGGTATGGATTTTATTTTGGCAGCATATTCAGAGGAATGTAGACTTCAGTACTTTTGAAGAGCATGATCAACGGTGTCAAAGGCAGCCGGGGGGGAAGGGAACGAGACATACGGGTAAAGACAAGTCTTCCAGAAGCTTTGAGGAAAAAGGGAGCAGGGATATGGGACGATAATAGGTGGCATGTTTAGTGGCATGTTTAAGGTCAGCAGAGAAGATGCCAGAAGATAGAGAGCAGTTAAAGATGTGTGTTTTAAGGAAGGTACTAGACAAGGGGAGAGAGATCTGATAAGGTGAGATGGGATAGGATCAAGTGGCCAAGTGGTGGGGCAAGAGGAAAGGAGATGCGCAGTCACCTCTTGTTTAGTAGCCAGGGAGAAAGTATGAAGGGTAGGAAAGTTCATAAATGTTATTATTTTATTCTGTCAGTTGGATTGTTTATTGCACAGTGTGGATAGTAGGGATTTTCCTATTTTGTGAAATCAACATGCATGTTGCTATTACATTTTGTTTGACCAACAAGGTTGAGGAAGCGATCAGTTCAAATAAATCAATTAGAGGGCTTGGGAGAGCATGAACCAATTTCAGAAGTGCATAAACCTGTTCCGAAAACAGTTGCACTTTAGGGCATTTTCACAATATCTATATAATTACAGTTCCCTGACATACCAGAATTAATCTGGGGGAACCAAAAGAAGACAATGTCCCATCTAGATACTAATCTGTCATGGATTTTCAAGTGGTTTGAACATGCCCTTGCTTCCCATAATGTTACTGCCACGGTATACCCACTATATACAGTTTAACATTCAGTTCCTTTTGCCATTGTGTAATTAAAATGTAGGGCTTCCTTGTGTCTATGGCGGTTAGGAAATAGTATAATATTGATAAGCTATAACCTTGCAAAGGCTAGTTGAAGCAAATGCTTTTTAAGGATGGTTGGTCAATCCCCTCTCTAACACAACCCTTGTTTTGAAGGATGTGAGGTAAGGCCATGTGAGATTTATTTCTCTATTGATTTTGTTGTTTCTGTTCATTTATATTGGGATTTAAAGGGACAAAACAACTTTAGCTTAATTAAGCTGTATTCGTGTATAGACCATACCTCTGTAGTCTCACTGCCATAATTCTGTAATTGTGGAGTTAAAACCCTTTTTTGTTTTTCTTAATGCAGCCCTAGCCACATGTCCCCTGACAGTGACTTATACAGCCTACATATAAAATGTTTTCATTTCCAGTCAGATCTTGCAGCGCATTGTTTACACTTTATGTACTATTTTATGTTGCGTGTTCTCCTGCTCTGTTAATTGAACATTAATCACACACAGGGGGCTGCTGCATGCTAACAAGCAATTAGCAGAGGATGAGAAACTCTAAATTAAACACACTGTGCAAACAGAAACCTATCAAAGTTAAATATAATTTGTGTCATTCATACTACGTTGTGTAGGATGCACAGTTGGAAAGAGAAAATGGAAGTGTGTGTATATGTATGTATGTGTGTGTGTATATGTATGTGTGTGTGTATATGTATGCATGTATGTGTGTGTGTATATGTATGTATGTGTGTGTGTGTGTGTGTGTGTGTATATATATGTGTGTGTGTGTATATGTATGTATGTGTGTGTGTGTGTGTATATATATATATGTATGTGTGTATGTATGTATGTATGTGTGTGTGTGTGTGTATATATATATATATATATATATATATATATATATATATATATATATATATATATATACATACACACACACACACACACACACACACACACACACACACACTGTTGAAATTGGGCCCTTAATGGTTCTAAGAAGTTGTCTTCCAGCGAGCAGACTCCTTATTTTTGCAATCGTATACTTGCTGAAAGAAATGTTATAATAAACCGCATGGTTACAGCTAGCCATCTTGTTAAATGGTGGTCTTATAAAACAGCTGGATTCCGTTGGAGGTATAATGAAAATTTAACATGTGGGGAATGAAAAAAGCATCACCCCGAATTCCAGCAGAGTTATTTATAAGTGAGAACTGTTGGGAATTCTAAGTAGCATAATTAGAAAAACTCTCCAACTAAATTCTGTTCTCAGCTTGGCTCTTTTGGCTTTAAATTTTAAATACATTTTGCATTGCTGGCAATTCTCACTTTGGTAAATAACCCTAATTCTTGCACCGGCACTGATGTAATAAGTGCAGAATGACAGTGCTGTGGAAGAATGAGATGTTGAAGGGCCTTTATCCACTAAGCCAGGAATTTTAGGTAATTGACAAAGGATTTGCCCGGTTTGGCCCAAATGATCAAACTGAAAAAAAAATCTCTAACTCCATTATTTTTCCAGCTTGACGATCTTGTTTTTAGATTTGCAATTCCCTTGTGAATTTCGCACCGTTCCCTATTTATTTAATCCCCATACTTGCCACACCACAGAGGAATATTTCAAGTTTTCATACTACATCTTCACATATGTTTAATAATCTCTACTGTTCCAAAATTTCTTAGGCATTGTGTTTACAATGCAAACTCCATTTTGTTAACAAGAAACTCCATATCACGAAGATGGGCCTGATCCAGATCATGGGATTTGTAGTTTATCAAGAGCAAAATGTCAATACCTGGAGGCACAAAAACAAAAGCACTTGCATTATTTTAATGTTAATTTTTTTTTTTTGAATTGCAGATTCAATAAAGATTTTGCACTTTTTGAAAATTATTTTTTTCTTTCTAGATCCGATTCCTCTTACTCTTCAGTCGCCAAGGGAAGTTACGATTACAAAAATGGTATGTTTCAATACCTGAAAAAGAAAAGCGGAAGATCTCACGGGAGCTGGTCCACATAATTCTGACTCGAAGTCCTCAGATGAGCAGTTTCGTTGACTGGAAAGATCTAAAACTTGTATACAAAAGGTGAACTCTTTAAATATAAACAAACTAATGTACACATTTTCTACTAAACTTTTGGGAAACTAGGAGGAACTTTCACTTGGTACATAATTGCAAATTCTAATAGATAATCCAACACTCCAAATAGGTTTTCTTCTGTGACGTGTAAATGAACAGTTACCCACAATAAAGTGACCATTTTTCATTAAACAATAACATATGAAAAATAAACGTGTAGTGATTAGTGAAACAAAATCCAAATGTCACAAAACACTACTGTGGAGTTTTACGACTTTTGTTTTTTGTTTCACTACTCACTACAAATTTGTTTAATTTTTTTTAACTGAAGTAATTAAGTGTTGGGTTTTAGGAAGCACCCACATAAAGTGGTAGCAGCTTTTTTTTATATAGTCAATATCGTTATTTGTTATCAGCGCCTCTGTTACTCCGTTATTTCTCTTTTTTGTAAACCATGTACAGGATTCCATTTATTCTGACCAAGTTTTCGATAATTTTGCACTGATAACTTTATGTATTGTTCCACTGCTGTGAAAATGGCATTATCTTCACGTTGTATTTCTTAAATGTTTTTTTTGTATAGCTTAGTTTACCGTTCACCCAAAAAAAATAAAAAATCATGCATTTTTTGTAACCTTACAGCTGGCTCTTTTCCACCGCCCTACTAATTAATTAGATGCGTCATGTCTTCTTCACCGGAGCACCATTTAACCCCTCTGCATCCGGTGTAGTCAGATGTGCTTAAGTTTGTATTTAAAAAAAGTCTAGAAGTTAATGGGCAAGAAATTATCCATTTGCTAACCGTTTAAACCATACTACCTACTCCAATTAACTCCTCCCTTCTAGGGTCTAAACCCTCATTACTCCTACATCTTCTCACTGGCTACTTCTAACTAGAGAGAATATAAGTGCATGGTATTAAGCTGCAGAACTGAAATGAGCACATACACATTATATATAGCTTTATTATAGATCATTTTTTTGTAAATATATTTTATTTAGTATATAAAATAAGTTTGCATGCATGTGTGGTACTTTGTAATGCACGCAGTAGCTTTTTTTTTCACTGTTACTCCTGTCTTACCCTTGTTCTCTGGGGTCAGCCATCTTTAAGTCAACTTTGACCAAAAGCACTGCTTATCCCACCAAATCCATACTTGACAACATTCCTTGCTCACCTTCCAGGACAGAGGTAAGCAGGGAAGAGAGCAAGCATGCAGGATCCCTAAAGAGCCTGCACCCTGTTGCAGACCATGCACCGAACACTGTGGTTTAGTGACCAGTCCTCTCCTGCATTTTGAAACCTGCTGGCCGACTTTAAAATATGAGACAGATCCCCAGTACCTATATATGCTGGGACAGTGCACGAAAATGCAGGACTCCTGGCAAATTGTGGACTGTTGGCACTTATGCCAAAGCCGATGCTGGTAACCAAAAAATAGACCTCATTAGCAAATCCATATGTGATGTACAAGTGATAAACATCTCCAAAATGTGCGCTGAGTATTCGTCGTTCAAATTATGCATAGTCTTAACAAATAAGTGGTGCTTCTGACCTAAGAGGGCTTAAAGATAGCCGCCCAGAAACAAATTGATACCACAAGCACTTGTAGACAAAGAATTCTAAAGCACCACCAACCAACCACCCACTGTTCCAAACCATAACCCCCCCTCTTGATTATGTAAATGTGATTTAAAAATATTGCATACACACAGACCTATAGAGTGTGATTTGTTTTTTTTTATACACACACCTCATATTGCCACCTCATATAAAGCATGGCAAGTGCATATATATGTATGTTTGTAATGATGTCCGTATTTACATGCGTAGCTTGACCATTTAGGTCCCTGTCCTATCCCCTCTCTGCTGGAGATCGGTGTGTTAAGTTTCAAGGGCAGAACCATGCATAGACCAGGGAACTTGTTGATCTCAGATTTCAGCAGCCTCAGTTTGGGTTGACTTTGCTGTCTGGGTAGACTGTAACCTACCAAAGGCAACTGCTTTTAACAGGCAGAGTAGGCACCTATGAAACCTGTATCAGGCATGTGCTGTAGGTAGGTGCCTACTGTACCCAATAGGAATCCTGACTGCATGAACAAAGTTAGGGTAAGTCTGGAGAGGCATAAAGAATTCTTGAAAGATGAAATATTTGCATTGTTTTTAAAAAAACAAACATTTTAACTTTTTTTTTTAAACTGAATTGCTTTGAACAGATTATTGTGGGATGTTATGAGACTGGCATCAAAAAATTTGCAGTAAACCTTTAAATTAAATGTAAGTTAAAAAACAAACAAAAAAAACACAACAAAAAAACACTTTTACTTTGATACACAAACATACCCTCCTATGTTTCCCATTAAATAGGATATATTTCGGCCTATTGAAAGTGACATAGGGGGACGTGGATGACCTATTCCCTTGTGAGTGCATACACAACAAAGTCACCAGCAACTAGAGCAAAAAACAAAATCGAAATGTCTTTTGCTGCAGCACAAAGTAAAACTACTCATTTGTGTGTGTGTGTGTGTGTGTGTGTTTGCAGTCAGTTTAAGGCTTACACTTGGTGTCTATCTAAAAAGCTCCTTCATCTCACTTGTCTTGCTAAAGCTGGTTCTCTCTTCCAGGTATGCGAGTCTCTATTTCTGCTGTGCAATTGAAGACCAGGACAACGAACTGCTTACACTGGAGATTGTGCATCGGTTTGTAGAACTGATGGATAAATATTTTGGGAATGTAAGTGGCAACACTACAAGCAAGTGCAATTATATATCTACACTTTATTGAATGTAGATCCACAGGATTATTTAATAAACTATGAATTGTCAAGAATTGACCAGAGAATTCTAAGCATTAAGTCAAAATAATTGAATTTAAACATTTCCAAATTTCCTCATTTCATTTTTTGTATAATAGTTACATTTTTTTGACCTTTTCCAATGTATAACTCCTGGTATTGGTTAATGTAATTACATTTCTATAACTGTATGTTAACTGAGGTGGCATCTAAAAAATTTTATATTTAAAAACGATATAAAACCAGAAACTTTAAATAACGACAACTGTTTTACACTGTTTACAGTCCTTTTACAATTTTACAAAACCGTGTTTGCACTCTCAAAACATTACCTTATTTTAATACTTTTACATAAATGGACAATAAAAATAGACGATTTATGCTTGTTCTCTAAAATATCCTAACCTTTGCCTCCTTGGTTATGAACAAATTCTAAACTGATTATTCTAAAGATACAAATGGAAGTTTTGTTTTTGTTTTTTTATAAATAGGCAATATGTAAACGATATTGTCTCCACCATGGTATAGGTGTCAAGCTACATGCATAGGATACGTTGTACGTTGATATAATCTTAGCTGTGCATCTTTATAGGGCACAGCTAGGATTATATAGGGCATCTTTGAGTTTTACATGGCCTATCAAAAATGTACTTGGGAATTAATTCCCTCTGCATTGTGGGTAGGATTTGACACTGATATGTCATTAAAGTGCTGGGGACTCCAAACAAATGCCCTGCCTGATAATGTAAAGACATTCTATCTCAAATCAATTCTTCATAGAGAATCACTGATAAGAACTATAATATAAATGTATTTCCTTGCTAGGTCTGCGAACTGGATATTATATTTAACTTTGAAAAAGCATACTTCATGTTGGATGAATTCCTCATGGGTGGAGAGATTCAGGAGACTTCAAAAGAGTCTGTGGTTAGAGCCATTGAAGATTCAGACATGTTACAAGAGGTACGTGGGACGGTATTTTACTTGACATCGGAGGTTGGGATGTAAAGTCTATGGCTCCTTAAAACACTAATGCTGCCATCTGCAAGTCTTGAGTAGTCTGTATAGAAATATTCGAAAGTCCCTCTTCCTTCATCACAAAAAACAAACAAACATGTTTGACCCTAAATATGTCTTTCTAGTTCCAAAAAAAAAAAAAAAACAACCCCCCCCCAAAAAAACAAAGCTATACACATTTGAGGCCTTGTCTCATTTGACACATGTGCTGCATTTGAAATTGCCTTACATTTTTGTAAAATTTCTCATCACTGGGTGGGGAAAGTGGTGGATCGCTCTTCCCAAGACCGAGCCTTCAGCTACTTGAGATGTTTTATTTCTTTTATGAATGATGTTGCCTCCACCTGTTGTCTCAATGGGGCTTGTTTTGCCATGATCTGCCCTTTATTCAGGTGGTAAAAAGGGAAACCGTGAGATGGGAAGACCATGCGCACATTGGACTTAGAGATTTGTTTTCCAAACTGCAGTTTGTCCATATTTGGACTTATTGGGTAATCAGTCAAATTCCCGAGTTCTGAGCCAAACTGTACCCAAATCATGAAGCAAGTGAAACATGCAATGAACTAGCATGTTCGTTTAGTATTGTAATTCTGAATTCTACTTCATTTAATTTGTTTGCAGACAATGGAAGAATATATGAGCAAACCAACTTTTTAAAAGTGAAGCGGGAAAAAACCCAGATCAATTAGAACGAGCAGAGCCTTAATTGTGAAAATCCGAGCAGCAGTAAAACTAAAGCAACACTTGGATGCTCTGATTGACAAGATGGCTGCCATCGCTGGACATAATACTACTCAGAAATGGGACGCTGACACCACTACAAGGGACATGATTACTGTGACAATCCTACTCAACCACCGAATGGACCTAAACTATCACAATGCAATGGAAATAAACTTATGCAAAAAAAGTCTTGCTTTTTAAAGAAGAAATAAAATATTTTTATACATAATATTTTGTGCTCTTGTTGTGGCAATAAGGGACTCTTGTTAAACAGTCCTACATCCTGTCTCTAAAACGATGTAACCCCTCTTTTCGGGGACCAATCACTTCTTGTCCTGGGTGGAATTCCTCACCATAATTGCCTGGCTTCACTAGTACAGGTTGAACTATCATAGGACAAAACGTAATTATTCAAAATGGCTTCTCAGCTGGCAGTCGTCAGGGACAATATTAATGCACTGCTTAGTTACTTTTATTTTGTGTAAGCACCTGAAGATGGCAGAGCATGATTTAAAACGTTTTCTAAATTTTTTTTTTTTTTGTTAGAGAATTCTGTTGTTGCATTGTGCTAATATTTGTATGTATTTCAATTTTCCTGTGTAGTCTTGTGATCTTCAGAGATATTTTTAGTCTATTGAAAATTTATATTAAAAGTGTAAGTTTACATGGATATTGACTTCAATGTTATGCTTCCAAGTCAGAAGAGATCGTAAAGTGGCTCTGAACTAAGACTTGGACTTTGCGAGTTGGGAATCGGCCCTGTGGGGATAGCCTTTGCCCAACTAGTAAATACTGGCACATTTTTCCATTTTTTTGGTGTCAGCATAGGTATTAACCCATTGGTGGCTAGTATTCTGTTATTATTCTTTGCTTTTCCCTTGATGTGGTGACCTGACCACCATCCTTATTCCCTGGAGTAGGTCTGGTATGTGGAACTTGTTAGAAAAACATATACCATCACTTGTCAATTACAGTGCAACATGTGCGAGCAGACCAGAAGCTTTTTTTCAACATGCACTGTATTGACGTAGCTGTTGATGTCAGAGGGAATGACTTGACAGGTCTGTGAAAGATTCTCATTGGTGGACACTGCACGTTCCTTCTGATTGACTTAATTCACTTTTTTATTTCTAAAGGCAAACTATGTTTAGAAAAAAATAATGGATTGTGTTGTAATGCTCACTGAATCTCAAGTATTCCGTAAGTAAGCTTCACAGATATGAAGTGCTTTAGGTGTATTTTCACAATACCGGTGTTTGAGAGAAATAGGAAAAACACACAATAATATGTATACAATGTAGTCCTTTTACAGTGTGTTTGTGTGCCTCAGACACAGCAGCTATGGAATTTTTATTCCAAAATGTGCTAACAAGCAAATGTATCATTGTCTGATTTCTATCCCACATTTCTGTAGGTTCTGTTTGCAATGATCTGGTTTAAATCAAAGCTTGTGTACCAACATGTGGGTTAGGATCTAAATAAAGCACTGTCCAGGCATGGAGAGCGATTTCCTCTTTTAGGGCTCTTCAGCACCGCAACACATTTTCTCCAGTACTGACAACATCTAACTAAGCACTATTACATCCATAGTGAGATCAGAAATCTGTTACTGCTATACATCATCTGCATATCACAAGGCAAAAACTCGCACACAAAAACACATCCCAGACACCGCAACCCCAACAATGTACTTCACCAAAGTGAGAATTCAATTTGAATTTCAAATTCAAGGTAAAAGTATCTAAACTGTAAGGATTCTCAAAGTCAGCTATGCTTCTAGTTTGAAATTCACTTTGAATACACTTTTTTAAATTCTAAATTTAGTTTATTATTATTTTACTATTTATATAGCGCCATCAGATTCCGTAGCGCTGTAAAATGGGTGTACTAACAGACATGTAATTGTAACCAGACAACTGGATGTACAGGAACAGAGAGGTGGAGAGACCTGCTCAATGTTAATAGTCCTGTCCGTTGGTGTTTACGTAACTCGTTTAGAATACGTTTTAGTTGGGATTACATAGATATTTAGTATGTCACTACTAACTGTTGCATCACCAGTTTACTGCAGGTGGAATGTTTTTGAAACTGGAGTTGAGCTTTGTATTCAAAAGAATACTTATTATTATTATTATTATTATTGCCATTTATATAGCGATAACAGATTCCGTAGCGCTTTACAATATTTTGAGAGGGGGGATGTAACAATAAATAGGACTATTACAAGAAAACTTACAGGAACAATATTTTGAAGAGGACCCTGCTCAAACGAGCTTACAGACTATAAGAGGTGGGGTATTAGAAACATTAGGACAGGAAATATCAAGTAGGAGTGAAGCAGAGCTGGAGGAGAGAGCAAAGCACTGTCCAATAGGAGAGCGCAGGAGACAGGTATGTAAGGTAGAGATTACTCTGGGAGGCCATAAGCTTTCCTGAAGAGATGGGTTTTAAGGCCCTTCGTAAATGATTGAAGACTAGGGCAGAGTCTGATGGCAGTAGGCAAGCTATTCCATAGGAGAGGAACCGTGCGCGAGAGGTCCTGCAAGCGCGAGTTGGCCGTACAGGTGCGAGCAGCAGTCAGGAAGGGAAGACGTAATGCGCACAGTAACGTTGTGGAAGGTGGGGGCATAGCCAATGCCGAAAGTCATCTGTGCTGGAAAAAAGTGAGTGTTAAAAGGGTAACCAGACATTTTGTCATGGGCAAAGAGCTATTATAGCATTAGGAATACAGCTATAGTGTTCCTTTAAATGGACACTATAGTCACCAAACCAACTACATATTATTGAATTTGTTCTGGTGATTAGAATCATTACCTTCAGGCTTTTTGCTGTAAACACTGTCTTTTCAGAGAAAATGCAGTGTTAACATTACAGCCTGGTGATAACTTCACTGATCACTCCTTGGATGGCTGTTAGAGATCCTTCCTGGTTCATGGCTGCCTAAAATGCATCCAAATATTCAGTATCTACTCCCTCTGCATGCAGACACTGAATTGCTATTATAAATCCTATATACCATTACACTGTATTTATCATTATTTCTGTAATCTCTTTCTCTCTCTCTATCTATCTATCTATCTATCTATATATATATATATATATATATATATATATATATATATATATATATATATATATATATATATATATATATATATATATATATCCAAATTGTAGCAGGTGACCAGCACTCACGGATTCATGAAAGGGTTAAAACATCAACAGTTTAATGAAAAAAATTCAAAAATTGTTGACAGCTCAACGTTTCAGTCCTCCTCTGGGACTTTCATCAGGAACAACCATTGTTCCTGATGAAAGTCCCAGAGGAGGACTGAAACGTTGAGCTGTCAACAATTTTTGAATTTTTTTCATTAAACTTTTGAATCCGTGAGTGCTGGTCACCTGCTACAATTTGGATATTTGAATTTTCCCTAGGACTTCAAGCACCCGGTATGTAACTTATCAGTCAGAGTGCAAGGATAATATATATATATATATATATATATCCTCCAAGAAAAAAGCTAGCACTCAAGGACTTCAAAAAAATTTAAGCATTTAATCCAAATAGATAGGGTGTCCTGAGGAAAGTTCACAACTGTGAACTGAAACGTTGACTATTTGGATTAAATGCTTACATTTTTGTTGAAGTCCTTGAGTGCTAGCTTTTTTCTTGGAGGGTGTATCTATGTGCACCGGGCCAAAACTTAAAGGAGAGCTGGAGTGCAAAACCACCATTGAACTGTGTGTGTATATATATATATATATATAAAAAGAAAACTGCATTTCAATGAAAATACATGTGGTTAGGTCATACATGGGGGAACAAAAGGACCACCACTGAAGCATTTCGTACACTTCTTCAGTCTCTGATAGGCTCATCAGTGGCGGTCATAAAAACTGCACATTTTAGAGTGGCCTTTTATTGTGGCCAGCCTAAGGCACACCTGTGCAATAATCATGCTGTCTAATCCGCATCACCTGTGAGGTGGATTGTCTATGCAAAGGAGAAGTGCGCACTAACACAGATTTAGACAGAATTGTGAATAATATTTGAGAGAAATAGGCCTTTTGTGTACATAGAAAAAGTTTAGATCTTTGAGTTCAGCTCACGGAAAATGGGGGCAAAAACAAAAGTGTTGCCTTTATATTTTTGTTCAGTGTATATACACATACAATAAAGGCTGCATTCGGCATATATAATTCTGGAATTTTTTACTCCAAATTTTGGGGTAAAAAAAAGCATTCTGGGGGGGCGGAGCCTGACCGCTTAACTGAGCAGACGTGGGAGACTCGAGCTCCTGCCAAATGGGTAGAAAACAGGGCACAATCAAGGACAAAATAGCCCGAGAACTTACCAGGGAGCATCAACCACGTCGGGGGTGCTCTCCTGAATCCAGCGATTTGACGCCCGTTGGGGCCAGAAAAGCGGGACACTAAGCGCTGCCTGCGGAGTTAGAGTCGTGCAGAGGCGGCTGCTCAATCTGACACTGGACCCCCTAGGTGACATAGCAGGTCTCCATGGGACACACGGACCGAAACTGCTGATGGGTTCCCAGGCCGCACAGCCTGCAGAGCCGTCAACCTGAGGCAAACCTAAGATGGCCGCTCAGCAAGGGCCAGAGGCAACGGGCATGAGCTCTCAAACATACACTCACCCACTGGAAACTTTTGATTCACTTTGCATGAACCTCTGGTCAATACTTCGCCACCGTGGAATGTCACACAGCCGAGCAGCTAAAATGATCGCCTGGTGGATCCGCCCTACGACCCGCCGGCGCCATTACAGGCACCCACTCCAGGCCTCCACTGTGACCACGCGGCCCGGCCAATGCTAAAAACCGCCATGGAGGGAAGCGACAACATACTACCCAAGCTCGCCCCAATACATGCTGGAGATGGGCCAACGAACATCCCCCACAGCCACACCACTCACTTAGACGCAGAATTCCGGACCAGAAAAGCACAAATCTATGCCCCGAAGGTATGGCAGACCGCCGCGCTGTTAAACAGAGGGGAGCTTGCCGCACGAATACAGGAGCTGGATCCCAGCCCAGAGGCTCCACCTGCAAGATTTATATCAATGGGAAACGAGACATTCCTGTAAGAGGCAAAGGCACCCACAACATTGCTTCGTTGCCAACAGGCCCTGCTCTGAACTCTAGGAACAGGACTCTGGTTGCTGATAGGCAGGCCCAATAAACCAGGGCACCATACTCATGAAAACAGGAGCTGCTGTTTTCTATATTACATAACCTGGACTAACAGTGGACACTGCTGCGGCTTAGAATTAAGTTGCCAGAATTTTTATGTACTTCACACACACAGGCAGCTCACACGGTTACCTAGGTAGATGATTTTTGGGCTCAGCAGCAGTTCATATATTACATCTTATTTGTTTTTTGACATATTTGACTCTTTATATTAACATGTTTAAGCTCAGTGTTGATATCACGTGTTCCCTCTGGTTTCACGCTTAGTTAAAGCTAGAGGGAGCATAACTATTCTTTTTTTATTTTTTTTATTTGACAATTTATTTTTTCTAAGTGTAGATGGGGTACAGAAATTAAGAGGGAAGGGGTTCATAGTAAATAATTTCACATTTGCGTGTTGCAGGTACAATATCGTGGTTACGTTTTGCGTTTTTGTTAAGGTTCAGGACTCTATTCATGTCACGATTGAGTGTGGGTTAAACAGTGGCTATAGCGCACGTCTCAGATGCGCTATTTACTACCTTTTTGGTTGTGGCCCTTGCTCGTGGCGGCATGGGTTATTGGCAGTCATACCCTTGTCATGTCTTAGCCCAGGGCTTCGCATGCTACCTGTAACGTCGGTGGGTGTGCAGGATTGGGGTGGGGATAGAGGAGAGTAGGGGTAGGGGAAAGAAGAGGGTTTGTGGGGGGGGGGTTTGTGTCTGTCAGGGTATGGAGGGGGGTGCAGCTGGGTTCGTAGAGATTACATATGGTTCAGTTTGGAGTTTTTGTAATTGGGTGTGTTCTTCCCCTCACCGTGAGGGTTTTAATGTTCTTGTGTGTCATGTTAATGGGGTTTGTTTTTGTCCCACAGATCCCACGATGCTGACCAGTGGGAGCTTTTCTGCTGTGTCTTCAGTGCTAAAGTTTCATATAATTTGGTGTGCTCTATTGTTTCTATGCATTGTTTGATCGTTGGGGTTGTTGTTTGCTTCCACTGTCTGCTTATGACAGTGAGAGCCGCGATTATAATGTGGTATACCATATATTTGAGGTGTGGGAGCATAACTATTTTAATGTCCAGTTGGTACAGCAAGGATAGGCGAAGCAAAAACAAGGCCTAGACATGACCAAATAGCGAGTAAACAGCATAGGTCGCAGAGATAACCAACTATTACACGCTAAGTCTCACAGGCTGTATATGCAACCATGTCTTTCCAGATAACTACAAAATGTACACTGTTCTTCATGCCACATAAATACTATGCAATGTTTAATAATGCGAAGGTACGTGCTGTTGTGGCAGTGCATTCTCGCTTGTCTAAGCTATGTACGAATAAAATAAAGAATAAAAAAAAAACACATACTATGTTAAGAAAAATACCATAATTTATCCTCCTCTTTGGACTGAGGCAATTTCTTCTGGCACTTTAGGTTGTTTTTTTGTGTAGAAGCAGAGCCTGCATGCCTCTCCACAGATCAAGGTTCATTTAATTGTGCATTATAGATTTTTTTTGTAATCTCTTTTGCAAGGATTTTTTGTGTTACCAGCATTTACATTTTTCACAATTCCACCCAATATTTATAGATTGTACCATCGCTGTTTGTTTATACAGAAAATTTCATCTCTATAAATACATGACACAGCCTTGGCTGGGTCTAGGACAGCAAAAAATAAAAATAAAAATATTTTAAATTCTATATATGTGTATATATATATATATATATATATATATATATATATATATATATATACACACACACACACAGTCTCTCCCTGCCTACACACACTTTCCCTTATACACAAGCACTGGTCTATCTATCTAACTATCTATCTACACACATATACACACACACACACTC